AAAATGTTACCTGCACCAGTGCAGGTATGCAGAAAAAGATTTCAAGCACTGACTGCGAATAAATGGAGAATAAAATCGCTAAAATCAAAGACTGGATACTACTACTACTTTTACTACTACCACTACTACTATTACTACCGGGTACTACTATTACTTCTACAAAGAGTTAGTTAATATCAATTTCGTCCTTGTCACTAGTGAAAAGGGCATTTCTCTTACTGATAAGAACTTTAGAAGCACCAGGCCACAAGTGAGTACAACAAAATGTGTGATAACAGAATGGCCAACAAACAGCTGACTGAGATAGCATCAGAAGGCAACCGTTATCAGGGTCGAATCTCCCCTCAGGGCTAGGATAAGGCAACAAGGTTTTACTCTTACATGTCCCTGATAAAATCTCTTCCCTTGATCGATCGCCTGATTGAAATTCTGAGGTAGGTGTCAGATTCATACTACCGGTATTACTTTTTTTAAAGGACCATCGGACAAAAAAACAAATGTTTAAGAAATTTGCATGTTCCCCTGAACAGGCTTTTAGCTAGGATTTTTTTGTTGGGCGTCCATTTTTTGCATTGTATGCTATGCTCCGCAAAGATGCACGGTGCACAAGCTTTTTAGGGGGCCTTTTTTGAAAGTCAAAATGCTCTCAAACACTACTTTTTGCATTTTGAGTTACAAATTTTGAGGAATTTGAGTTTTTGTCCTTCAGTAAACCAACATTTTTGTATTTATAGTAAGGCTGAAGGGAGGCATGTGTGCATGGCAGGGGTTGGGAGTGGAAAAAAACAGGGCGTCTTTAGGGTGTCCTACCAAAAAGTAGGGCGTCCAATTTCTTAGTATTTTCAGTACAGGGCGTCCAAAAGACACCCTGGACACCCCCTAGCTAAAAGCCTGCCCCTGAACCACACGGATACAATTTTCAGAAGACTGGCTACCTTGCTAACATGAGATAATGGCAAGTACTGTCTGCTCTAGACAAGAGAGCTATCATTATAAACGCAACTTACTGAGTACCCAAATCACTAACCCACTCGAGACAACTGGAACTGATCCAAGAAAAACTTTGATTCCTTAAGAGCCAAATGCCCCTCTTTTGAACCTCTCACCCACTTACTTCAAGTGTGGGCCTTGATCACTTGGGGAGGTGTGCAGCACAGATTGCTCAGTTAAGGCCTAGGAAAAAAATGTTGTGTTTCCTGTTTCCTGACCAACCCTTAAAAAAAACTGCCGACCCTGGCCTAGAGTGATGATGCATTTTATAATCTGTTTTCCAACATTAATATTGAAAATATAAGTGCCCTCATGCAAGTTTTACTTTGCTAAACTGTATTTTGGATCACTAGAAATGGCCAAAGTCTAATAAAAAAAAGAAAGAAAGACAAAACGATAGTCCCTACCTACCGACCGAAAGTTTTTCAGGACTGAAACAGGAAACACAACATTTTTTCCAAGGCCCAAGAAGTGTAGCTTTCCAATTAAGATAGTAGGTTGTTAGCTTCACAGGCCCAGCTGGTCTCAACTGACTTGAGAAGAACCTTACAGAAAGCTGGTTCATGAATAGATAAGCTTTAATGTTCACTTGTGGTCCTTGGAAGGAAGATCTGGCCGTGAGCACTACTGAGAACAATCTCTAGATTAGTCTAGAGACCTGAGGGGTGGTGTAACAAATGGGGCAAGCCTCTTAACTGCTGCCTCTTGCAGTGCACATCACTGACACTGTAAACCTGTAGCCTCTACCAGGCTTCAGAAATCGGCTGGAAAGAATAGAAATTGGCCAAATACAGAGATTACATGCCAGGGGACTTGGTCCGCTAAGAGTACACTTTGCTGCTTCCCGAAGCTTGTACCAAAGCCCATCGTCTATTGAGACAGAAGGAGGCCAATATGGAACACAACTTGTCCATCTGTCATTTCAGCACCAAGGACAGCACCAATCAGCCTTCCTTTTATTATAAGTAATTGAACTGTCTTGCTTTCAAAAGAATGTATAATAGGATTATGTTTCAGTTGAAATTAAGAGTTGGAAATTTTTATTTCATATCTTAATTTACTTCCTTAATATATTACTTACTTTTAGTATTTAAAGTATTTAATATGTAATTCTAAATGTCTGAATTGTCCAGTTGAGTGTCTCTGAACCACATACCTGAGATTTGGGAATTGAAATAAACCACCCTCCCAGTACACAAAACAAACAGCTGCACTTTTCACTTAACATGACAAACCTGCAATCTTCAATCAATCGCGGACACTCTGATCGTTCTTCTTGATCAGAATACGCCCCGAGGACGGCAACAGCCGCTTAAACGACACCCGTCCGCTGACAAGCCCGTATATCAGGGTCCTGGTAATCATAACGAACACCCCTCCCTGAGGTGGATATGAGCGTCTCTATGCCACGGCGGCCAGGGTAATTTTTCAAATCTGTTGTTAATTAAGACCGGGAGGGCAGGTATTGGAAATCTTTACGCGTTGAGACGGGAAGATGGATGTGACGCTGGCTTGTCTTCCCCGGGAACCCGAGCGATTCTTTGTCCCGCGGCCTGGAGCCGGTGACCCCGCGCGCCGGGTTATCTGTCTCCGCACTGACGGTCTGACAAGCGTGCAGGATGCCGGAGCACGGCGCACCAGATTGTCCGTGTAAGGGACGACACGTCGTTTGTCATCCGCGCCATGTATGACCAGCCACCTCAGGGCAAAGGACAGTAATCTGCGCAAGCGCAATATGGGCCTAGTTTTAGTCTAATTCTGAAAACAAATGTATAGAAGTCTTTTTCATGGGAAATGTTTTTTTAGCCAGGGGTTATAGATAAGGATTTTACTTTTAGTCTTTTTACTTTGTAGGAAAAAGACTTTCAGCCGTGTTTGGGTTTTATCTATGTTTGCATGTGGTTCTGAGGGTTCAGAGGTCACTTATATGTCTTAGGGTCATATTCAGGGTCGTTTCTGCCATATGAAATTATGTCTTTATGGACTTAATGGACACTTTGGAGGTTGGAATATCCTGCCAATGTGTTTTTCATGGTCTAAAACTCGGGAAGATGGCTTTTGAGAAGTTATAAAATATAACATAAAACGGATTCTGATGGGAAAATCTGTATTTGGCACACACAGTTTCAGGGAATGAATATAGTTAGATTCAAGTTTTCATCCCAGCCCTCTGTTGTCATAATGACCAGTCTAACTTGCTGAATTTTCACTTTAAAATGTACGAGAACCACAGAAAAATGTGGCCTTAAATGCATGACTTGTTTCTGATACAACTTTGTCATCGTTGTGGATTGCTCACCTTTTGGCTCAGTGACAAGCACTAATTGCTGTAACACCAGATTTACTCAAACCAAACTGTCCCAGCCTACAACCAACAAGGGAAGACTATGTAAAAAGACAAATCAAACTCTACTATTGGATAAATTATGACGACTACTTCTGGAAAATCCACCACTTTTCTTCAGTGTCAATAAAATGATCTGAGGCAACTAGTCAACACTTATCACATGTGAAAGAATGGGAAAAACCAGTTGAAGATGACAAATTAAAGGGTGGACTGTAGTATGAAGCCAGGTAAATGGTGAATGCAGCTCCATTACAAAAAGAACACAAATTGGATATGTTGATAAAGGTTCAAGATCCAGGTAGAAGTTACTATATAATACCGATCAAATCAATCAACTGGAAAATTCTCCAAAGCTCAGCCTTAGATAGCATCTGCTATCATTCATCAGTGACGGTGAATGAGTCTGAGACTACTAGTGTAACCTGCATATAAATGATAATAGTTTTGATGTTTAAATTGTATCAAATACACTTTTTTGGGATCTTCTTTGTAGGGCCTACTAGTATCTAACAGCACAGCCAAGCACATGAGTACAAGATAAAATCAGTCCAGTGTTTAAATATGAACTTTGTAATATTAACATTCTATCAACGTTTTCATGGGCCATTCCACTTCAGTGTTAAGGGAGGTCAACATTTATTAATCACGTTGTCCAAATTATGTACGCAAACTCAAAACTCGCATTGTTTCTTGAGCTTGACTGACAATTTTTACATGTTAGTTTGCTGTGTTCTGACTTTAATATTAACTCCTTCTTTGAACCTAAAATGGAACAGCCCGGAATACGTCACCAATCGCACAGCTTGATGATACACATATCGTGAATTAATCAGAATACTAAATATCAGAAGTGATATGAAACTTGTTTCAAACACGACACAAAGCAGAGACAGTTGTTAAAACTAGGACAAAGTGATTTGTCAGAATAATAAAAAGCAATCAATACATTCAGACAGGATACAGGGGCCAACATAATCCCTAGGATTCCATCACATGACAATCATGACCTACTTCCATGGGAATCTTTGTGTACACTTTAGGAACGCTGGCGGAATGAAAAATACTTAGAATGTAATAACCATGTTGGCACAATGTACTGTGTCTGCGCAAAATCCAAATTTTTTACGTTTTTTGTAGAATGTTTGATCATGTTGTATTAGAATTTTTCCCTTTGCAGAAATTGATATTTTTCCTACAAAACATTTGAAAGCTATAATTATATATAAAAATGGAATGTCATCTTTCAATATGTGCATAAGACCTTAACAAATCGTACTGCCAAAGTGCCATGATCAATATATTTTGGGTTTGCGCAGTTGCAGTACATTCTGCCAACGTGCCTAGTAAACATAATAGCAGAGCTAAAAATACCCACCTCCTTCCTGCAATTTACAGAGCAACTTTGAATATTAATGCAGAAAAATAATATGAGTTGGCAAGGAGAGTGTTGAATCACGATGTAAATCTCGAAATGTACACGGTGGTTTAGTTTCATGGTGTGCGTGGGGACCTTTAACTACGAATGCTGTGCAAATGTGTTTTGTTACTATCACTAGAATTGTTTCAACCGAAAACGTCAAACACCTGAAAACCTTCTCAGGAGACTGCAGGAGACTGAAGTGAAAAGTATGTTGAGCCTGATAAAAAAGAGGGGTTTTCTGACCTGGTTTGCAGGGAAGGGGAACTTGGAGATGTCAGTTTTGATCGGAGTGTGGATCCCGGTCAGAGGAGGGCCAACCTCGGTCATCTCCTGTAAACAACAACAAAAACACAAACACAAGAAATGTCAGTACGGAAAAAATGACACTCAAAAATATTTGAGAGGAGTAAAGCAGTGAAAGCATACATCCATCATGTTTTACATCTTATCATTATTATAGAAAAAACATTGTTATTCTTCAAAGTCTTAGATGAACAGAAATCTTTCCTGTTAGAAAAAGAAATCAAAGGCAAGAAATAAAAGATAAGGAACTTATGAAACATCAAAAAGGCAGTTCTGTAATCTAAATATTAATCATCATCTGAAGCTCTTATCTTTCTCTTCAAAAGATTTTGAAGAACCAAAACCTTTCCTGAAAAAAAAGGGACAACAGTGACATTAGGAAATTAAACTACAGACAGGAAGGTTGCAGAACACCAGAGACAGCAGTGTATTATCCCACGTCGTCTTGTCTCTCCTCTGACCCTGGGAACTCCCTGTGCAAGCTGATGAGGCTACACCTGTAACAGTGGGGCGCGGTGTACATGCATCATCACATCCAGATAAGCGCCTCGTCTATACCCGCGATCGTTATTCCCAGCTTTTCCTTCTCCGGGTGACACCCTGACCTCCGCAGCTCGTTGGAGGGAGCCATTACAGGATCTCTCGCTCTCCGAGTGCCTCATTGGTATTCCCCCGGCCGCCCCCCTCCCGCAGCACCCACACAGCTTCCAGGAATCCATTAGCAGGACAGACTACAGTTGATCAATCATCAAGTCGCCGGCAGTCCGCGCAAACGGGAAACCTGTCCTCCTGTCTACTTCAACTCATCACGGGAACGCTTCAATCTTGTCACAATCTTCAATAAAACTCATGAAATCTGCTCAATACTATAGTGCAACATTCTTGACTGAAACACTGGGTAAAACTGTTTCTGTGACCTGTATACATCAACTCATCATATAAAAATGCTTCAATCTTGTCATCATCTTCAATAAAACTCATGAAATCTGTTCATGACTATAGCACAACATTTTTGACTGAAACACTGGGTAAAACTGTTCCTGAGACCTGTATGCATCAACTCATGAAAGAACGCTTCAATCTTGTCATAATCTTCAATAAAACTCATGAAATCTGCTTATAAGAAAGGATTTTTGATCTAAGCACTGGGTAAAACTGTTCCCTATGATTGCATAATAAAACTCCAGAAATTTAAACAACTTAACTTAATAAAAATTCTGTTTTCAAACGGATGATTTCTCTATTTGGTTACTCACAATCATCAGCAAAACTGTCCTCAAATTTAGATCCTAATCATCAGATTATTTTATTGTTGCATCATCATCGTCTTCAACAAAATGCACCAAACACATAGAAACAAGAAATCTATCTCAAAGCACCATCTCTAGGATTGAACCATTTATATATGTTGTATATGCAGTACATACACTCTTGGTACTTGCTAACCCACAGTCACTAAAAACTACTGATATGTAGTGTCAATCTTTCACAACATAACCAAGACATCTGCCTACAACACTACCTTTCTGATCAAACCATTCTGTAACCACTTACTTTTAAGACAGACTACGGGAGAAACTAATTACGTCTTCGCACCTAAATCAGATCCTCATCCCAAGAGTGACACAGACATTACAGTCTCCGCCTTTTGATGGAGCGCGGCAGTTTCCCGGCAGCTATTTCTCACCCACTGATAGCAGACGGCTATAAAACCGTTGTGACTGTTTCTGGGATCTGCCAATAATAACGTAATGCATCCTCCGAGGAACAGTGAGCTTCGTCTTTAATGGGAAAGATAACAGGCTGGCGGGCGTCGCCACCTGTGCCATCCCTTCCAGCCAAGGGACCCCCATCTGCAATCAAAGCCTCGTAACTGGTGATTGAGTTTTTGAGGACAGAGCTGCTGCAGTTTGGGTGCAAGTTGCCAGGAGGCGTTGCTATCTATTAGTGGTTTTCATGTGACCCTTCAAATTCCCTCTTGTGAAAATGTACATGTACTAAAAGGGTCAGGAGTCAGGACGATAGAGCAACTTGACCACTGTGGTGACTAGACTCTCTGATCAGGACAACCTACAATAATATTATAAGGGCAAAGAACACTCTGTAGTAGGAGAGCACAGAAAATGTACTAAAGCAAGACCGATCTGATTGTCACTCTTCAAAAGGATGAGTTACGTCAAGACAAGTCAAATACTGAATTCCTCTCGGTGCTGTCATTTTCCTAATGCTAACAAATGCTTAGTTTACCCGTGCTAGTAGACCTCATTATAAAGCAAATTAAATCTGTAATTTCCAGCCAAATAAATCGGACTTACACTGACTAACAAATGCTGACGTCTACCCTAGAAACAGACCTACCAAAACTCCGAAATCCATAATTTGCCCTGACACCCTAGATAGCAAGCTCTCTCCCGCCAGGTTCATGAACCTGGGCTGACGGAAAATATTATAATTTCAAGCTAGCCAGAGCCCTGCCTCTGCCTAAACACTTTTAAGTCCCAGTCCCAAATGACACGATAAACCTCATCTCTTTCTAGTTAAGCAGTTGCCAGTTGGACATATCGGAGTAACTTCCCGCTAGTTAACATCCATTGAGAAAATTGGATAAGTGGTCTCTTTACCTGGATGTTCAGTGAGGCTGGCTGCCTGCCCGGTCAGGCAATGTTATTGTAACCGCCTCGTTTGACGATAAAAGCCTCCATGTCGTGTCAAGAGGACGAACCGGCCTTGTACGGGGGTTACCAAGGCAACCGCCGCACTCAGGCCGCTCTGAGGACGATACGAGCAATTTCTTCCCGATCCCGTGGGTCAAATGAGAGGAGGGATTCGCTGCGACAGAAACGAGCGAGTCGATTCATTCGGCCCGGCGAAGACTCTCCTCCCGGCAAATTGCATCTGCGGCTGATGAATTATTAACGAGGGGTCGCGACCCCGGTGAATGCATCGCCAGCGGCGCGCCAGGGGTGGATTCAGGCGAGGAGATGTAAAATGTTTTCCTGGCACAAGAGATGACCACAGAGGGAACAGGAGGGGATTTAGAGCACCTCTGCTCTGAAATATTAACTAGAACCCACCACAAGCAATCGTGCAGTCTTTCAGGGGCAGTTTACAGTTTCATAGGCCTATATTGTGGAACAAACTCACTACTGAACAAAGCCAACTTAGCACCATAGTGGCTTTTAAAAACGGACTGAAATAGGACTTTGTAGTCAGCTTTAATTGTTTTCAACATAAGGTGTATGTCATTCGCTTAATGTATGTACTTTGTTTAATTTCTTGTGACTGTGTTTGGAACTTGACAACCTGAGTGTGATCTATTGGTAAAATTTGCTCCTTAAAATGAAGGAAATAGCATTTCAGAGGGTCTAGATTTCAGAATTTTCCTCAAGGATTATCGCACTTTGGTGCAACAAAATTGAGATGATAGAAAAAACATTTCAAGCTGGCTACAGATCACTGGTTCCACCTGTATGCCCACACACCTAGCCTGACCGGTTGGTAACCTAACAAAATGGTCCATTTCATTTGTCCCAGGCAGAAATTGCCCCAAACCCAATTTCTCCCAGGACAGCCACTTTGTCCAGCGGATATCGGCCTACAGGACCATCCAGCCGACGATTTGGCCATGCCAATTCAATTGCTTGGTTCTTAGATTGCAAAATAATGGCTGAACTGAACTGAATTTTTAATAACAAAGGTCAAAGGACAAAGAAAATGGATTATTGTGACCTAGGGTCAGAAGTTATCAAATTGCAAGCGTAACTACTTCTAAAACCGTTTCCGATCAACTTTTCCATTCAGAAGATTGAAGAATGAAATATTTCAATCACAATGCCACAATTATATTAATTTTGTGATCTGTATAATGCTGTCTGTGACAATGTACTTTGAAAAGGAAACAAATCAAAATCATTGGGACTGAATAAGGCAATTTGACTAAAATGAGTTTGGGACTTCCAGCAGCTTTCCTTGGAATTGCAGAGGCATTTTAGTTGCAGACTCTTTACTCCATACGTATGACACTTCTAGAAACTGATTGGACTGATTCTGGCAGCCCATCACAAAAGCATCGAACCCAACCCTCGCAAGAGATGCAAATCCTTGGACATGTGCCGGTCCAGATCCAAACCTTGTCTGATTGTAGATCACAGATACTGAGTGATGACAAGTGACAAACAATCTCTCATATGTCAGACAGATAACTGTCTACGTCAAGATGTGATTCACAAGAATCGGGTCAGGTCTACGTGTACGTCAAACCAGCTGCAGCTTGGCTGAGAACCAACAGGCTACAGCTATGATTCTTCATTATATAGATAACATGACAAACAATTCTTCAAGAGTTTTCAGAGCTGATTTTGATAACTATAAATCCTTCCTAATCCTGTACAAAATTCTATTTTGCAAACCTGTACCATGTTATACACAAGGCATTATCGTTACGGTACTGGGTGAACTGATAGTCGTGAATGCTACAGGAAACGTCTGACAGTTTTCAAAATCTACCCAGTTTCTTGAGTAACAATTTCCTTGTGTATCCTATTACCTTGATGTCTAACCTTCATTGATTCTAATTGTTCAAAAGGGAGTTTACCCAGTACATGGACTGGTGAAGGTAATATCGATCAGTACAGCTTCAATTTTACAAGTTAGACTTTGACTTAGACTTTGTTTTCAGACATGTTGATCTTCCTGACTTCTGATTTATTTGCAAAATCAGAGAACAAACACTATTGAATTAGACTTTAGAGTGGCCTAAAATTCAATTTGTGACTTTCAAAATCTATCCAGTTGCTGGAGTAACTGTTTTCTTTTGTGTCCCCGGGTTGATTCAGGGACAGAAATTGTTGAGAGCCAACAGTCTGCACAGCAATGACAACAAATCCTTCTGTCCTACCTGCAACTCATCTTTCTAACCGTGAGGGACTGAAACACCGGCCATGATGTATGACTTTAATACCTGAAAACTTGTCACCCTCAGGCACGCAAACACCAGAAACTGCCGAGGAAATATTGCGTATGGCAGG